CGTCCGAGAAGCGGACGATGCTACTGCCCAAAATCAGCATTTCACACGGCCGTGCGGATTTTAGGCCAAAATCTCGCACGGCCGTCCGAGATTCAAAGGGGCCACTGTACAAATTGACAGTTTGGCACGGCCGTTCGGATTTTAGGCCAAAATCCCGCACGGCCGTCCGAAGGGAAAAACGGGGCATTTTAAATAAGGGTTTTCAAAACCCCAATTTTCACAAATTCCAAACCCTCTTTCTCTCCACTTCGAACTCTCCCCCCTATTTTTAAATTTTTCGATTTTCTTGACAAATTTCACCAGAAATTCACCAATTGCACACACATAATACGTAAACTTAGTTGTTTGTTGCTAATTTGTGCAGGGGGTTCAAGAAAAGTGCAAATTTCTCCAAAAATCCATTCCACCAAGAACGCCCACAAGGTGTTCGACGAATTGTCCGACTCAAGTTTGGGGGAAATTTTGCAAAGCAATCCACTCCTAATCCCTTCTACACACATTCTCAAGTCATGGGGAAACGAGGACGTGACGGGGAGGGCACTTCACAAGGCGAGGGAACTTCAGAAGGCAAGGGGAAGGGCAAGAAAACCGACCAAATTCCGACACCCGACGATGACGCTTTTTGTGTCGAAGGCGCTAGTGCTCGTTTCGAGAAGCAAAAGGGGAAGAAACTAGTAACGGAGCGTGCCTACGAGATCACCCTTCCACAATTTGCCCCGTTACATCAAGAATTCCTACGACGAGGGTGGCAAGCACTATTGGAACCGGAGGGTTCGATCAACCTATCATTGGTCCGCGAGTTCTACGCCAACAACCATATACACCTCACAGAGGAGCGGAACGTGAGCACGGTTCGAGGCAAGAGGGTCGAGTGGAATGCCTAAGCAATCAATTCTTTCTATCACCTCCGACACAGGACACCATTCAATTGGGGGCAAATGCAACTTGCGGTCACACGAGATCAAATCGCCGAGGTGTTGTGCGATGGACCCCCCATTTGGTCCGAACTATCAACCGAAGAAAAGTACGAGTTAGAGTGGGAATGCATCAACCAAGTAGGCAAGGCGTGCCTTACGTTCATTTGTGCCAACCTCATTCCCACCCGCTCGTGGACTCGCGTGGACCCCGAACGGTGCGCTTTGGCATACTACATCCTCAAGGGCACCCCGATCAACATTGGCGCAATCATATCCGGCCGATTTTGGACCTCCATGGTCAACAACTCCAAGGGATTTTATTTCCCTTGCCTCATTACCGGCTTATGCAAAAAGGCGAAGGTCCCAACCAAACCGACAGACATTTTCACATCAATTCGAAATCCGATGAACGACCTTGCGGCCCGGCAATACAAGGCACCCATCCAAGATGGCGAGCAACCCGTTGAGAACAAACCAATAGCTCCACCCGAGGGTCCAAGCACAAGTTCGGACCGACGATTTCAACGAAGAATGGAGCGAGAGTTGGTAATCACGAGAAATCGGCTTGCAACGGTGGAGCACAAGGTGAGCACTATCGAATCCCTCCAACGGTGGTCGGGAAAGATGCTTCAAGCCATTGTACGCCATTTGGCATGTGGCAATCCCGAGTGCGAAGAACCGGCTCCGTTGCCCGCACCGATTCTTGAGTTGGTACCCGAGCTTTCGGATGATGACGGAGATGGTAATGCTCATGCGCAAGGCGGAGTTGACGAGCAGCCCAACGATGGTCCCGACGCGTAAACAGGTGTTTTCTATCCTTAAACTCCGGGCAAATCACATTGAGGGCAATGTGAATTTTAAGTTTGGGGGTGGTTAATTACTTGTTTTCGTTTATGTGCGCTTTATGTGTGTTTTTTTTTTTTTTTTTTATTTTGCATGCTTTAGTTTTTGTTTTAATTGCCGTTTTATTATTTTCGTTTTTATATAAAAAAAAAAATAAAAAAATAAAAAAAATGTTCAATGCATTGATGAATTACGATGATGGTGGATGGTCAATGTTTGATGATGAAACTACTTGTTTTATGTTGATAAGGAGTATGTATTTGTTTAACTTTCGATTCAACGGAACGTAGAAGTGAATTATTGCTAGGAATCACACCTTGTGCATTGCTTTGGTTGAATGTTTTGCATTTTAAATTTGGAATTTATTTGTGCTCAATCATGCTTTGTTCGGTTTTAAATCTCACCTTATGACATTTATGATACGAAGTGTTGATAGTAAGTGATTTGGGATATGATTTGGGTCTTCTTTGAACCGTTTGAGCCTTTCAAGCCTACCTTTAAATTTTTATCCTTAGAACCATGATTTGAGCCTCGGAGAGAAAAGGTGTTCTTTCTTTTAGCCAATTTGTAGAAGGTAGAAAAGTGGAGATTTTTGAATAATTATCCCTTGGATTTCGGTCGAAATGTTTTATAAGATCTTTCTTCTTCTTCGAAAAAAAAAAAAAAAAAAAAAAAAAAAAAAAAAAAAAAAAAAAAAAAAAGGAAAGAAGAAGAAGAATAGATTAGAAGGGAGAAATAAGGACTAGTGGATGAATTGTGTTGAAAACTCGATCCATTGCCTCAAGGTAAAAGTGTTGACATGTGAATTTTGGAGAATCGAGTTTATTAAAGTCCCTAGAGGTGAATTCATTGTTTCAAACACCGATCTTTCAAATTTTGGCGTAATCACCTCAATTCAAGAAAATTAGCCACGCATTCTCATATTACCTACCTTGGACCAAAGAGCCTAACAATTGAAAGCCACAAAGTCCCAATGATCCCAAGAGCTTATTGTTCAATATTAGTTGAGTAGAATAATTTGGTGAGTATTTGGAGTCAAATATATGCATGTAAGTATAAATTCTTTCTTTCTTTAACTTGCAAATATTGGATACTTGAAGCAATTGTATGATTTGTGGTTTTTGGTAATAATGAGTGACTAAGTGCCGTTGAATGTTAAGCTTGCGAATACCTATGAATTGTCATCATAATTGCAAGTTCTGAAAACGCGAAGTTGACCCATCGATCTATGTAATGAGATGTATGGTTTTGTTTTGTGCTATTTTATTTGATTTTACTTGAGGACAAGCAAAAGTTCAAGTTTGGGGGTGTGTTAAGTGTATATTTATACACTTAATTGTACCTTTTAATTGGAGCTTTTGGTGTGTTTTAATGATAATTGGTGCTTAAAATGGCTATTATTTGTATTTTAGGTGCAAATTGGAGAATTAACAACTTTTGGGGTGAAAACTGCAAATTCAGAGAAAAAGTGGGCCAAAAGTGAAAAAAGCAGAATTCTGGAGAATTAAAAGACCGCACGACCGTGCGGATTTTAGTTAAAAATCTCACACGGCCGTCCGGATGGACGTAGGGGCGCAGTGAAGGAAGTTTAATTACACAAGGAAACCCGCCCTATTATATTTTTGCACCCTATTTAAAGGCCACAAGCACACAATTAGACCTATCTTTAATCTTTTACCTTTTATCGTTATTATTAGTTTTTAGTTTTTATCTTTCGACACGCAATCAAGGAGCAAGAACGAAGACGAAGACTTGACGACTCTTCATCGTAGTTCTCCTCTTTTATTGTTTTTATGATTTTTCGTATTTTTATTATGTTTTCCGTAACGAACATGAGTAGCTAAGTTTTTATTCTAGGATTTTATTGGAACCCTATGTGGTAATTCGAACCTATTTTTCTACTTTTATGCAAGTTTAATTCTTCGATTATTTCTTCTATCTTGATTTTATTTAGTGCATGAGCGTAGCTAACTTATGTTGCTATTTATTATTGTTAGAATTGATTGACAGATCGTTTTAATAATTAGAACAAGGATATGAGAGCCTTCGAGTAGTTTTTCACCGAATGCGTGTGTTGATTGCATGTATTATCGTAGACATACAGATAATACCTTAGGTAGCTGTTTGCGAGACTTGATATTTAATGCTTTATTTATACTAGGTTTGCATAGACATATAGTGAATCTTTTATGAATAATAGGTTTATAGCGCAGCGACAGCTGGTTATGAATAATTTCGTGTCTTGGGTTAATAATCGGGAATCGTAACTTGCATGATAGGAGATTAATCGGGTAAAGAATTATCGCATAGGGGGAAGATAAAATCCTAGATCCGTTTTATATTGATATTTTCTCGTGATTACTTGCTTTCTTAATTAGTTTAATTTATTTAGTTAATTAATTTGACAACCCTGCGTAGGCTGGATAAAAATCACAATTGTTAGGATTTGGTACTTAGGATTAAATAATTTACGTATTCCCTGTGGGATCGACATCCGACTCTCACGAGTCTACTTTACTACTTGTTTGCGATACGTACACTTGCGTGTTGGTATTTAGCACCCAACAAAGACCAAATACAAATAATGAGAAAAAAAATAAAAATCGACACCAAGATGTCGAAAAACTATGCTACAAATCGACACTTAAGCGTCGAATTTCATAGGTAAAAATCGACATTGACATGTCGAATTTATAGCACAAATTCAAATGTCGAATTTTATACATCAAAATCGACATCTAAATGTCGATTTTTACCTGTAAAATTCGACCTGTACATGTCGAATTCGTTTGCGCGGGATTTTTCTTGGAAAATCGATATTCTAGCTAAAAACCCATAAATGCATACATTATTGGGTTATTCCATCATAGAATCTTCTATTTTGATGTCTTCTGACTCCATACTTGCCATCTTTGTAAGATTTGTTGAGTTTTGATGATTTTGAATTTCTAGGTTTTGTGGGTTAATGGAGGAGGAAGGAGAAAGGTCTTGTGGGTTTTGGAAGATGGAGAAGATGAGAGTTGGTCTTGTGATAGTGTTTTTTGTGTTTTTATGTTTTTGAATTTTTGGTCTTGCATATTTGGAATTTTTTATTTTTTTAATAAATAAGGATATTATAGTATTTATACATTGAAAATTTTAATTTGGTCTTGCACAAGTGGAATTAGTCTTGCATATAGCCGGAGCCTTCTTGTAATTGATTTTCAGTGTTGCGCCATTGTTGTAAATAACCCCATGTATTACGATAAGTATTTAAAGGGCAATTGTTGCATGATCTATTCAGTATAGGGTGCAATCTATAATTAACCCAAATATATGGGGTTTGGAATTAAATACATTTGTGTTGTACTCGGTATCCAAGAAAGAAAACGTTAAAAATCGATATTTAATTGGAAAAAAGTACCACCCCATTTAAAACCCCCTCATCAGTCATCACTTATCAGTCTCTCTCTCTCTCTAGAATAGTAGCACTATCACCATCTCCACAGTTCGCAGTAGCCTCCAATGGCGGAGTACGACCGCCCCGCCACCAACAGCAGCCACCACCACCACCACAACCACAACATGATCCCAAAAGATGCAGCCCTGCAAGCACTGAACACAATAATCCAGCTCCACTTCGAGAAAACCCTGGAGAAAAAACGAGCTGTTGACCTCCAGAAAAAGGAGCTATGGAAACTCTTCCATCTCTTCTTCCTGTTCTTGGCCTTGGTGTTTTTAGGTCAGGCCCAGTCAACTCGGCTGCAGTGCCGCCATTGCTGGATGCCCATTGGGCTTCTGTCCATGGCCCACCTCATCTTCTACGTTTCTGTGGCCCAGACCCTCCGCTGCATCAACGGCTTCAAGTATCAGCGCCGCTGCCACAAGTTGACCCTAGGGATGGCGACGGAGCGGCTGAGGCATCTCAAGATGCGGCTGAGCAGCGGCGGCGTTGTGGATGAGATGGGTGATGAGTTGGAGATACATTATCAGGAGCCACCTGAGAACTATTTCGGTAAGTTCAAGAGGAATTGGGCTCTGCATTTTGGTTTCTTGATCTTCATTTATGGCTTCATGGTTTCTTCCTCTGTTGTTCTTCTTTGTTTCTAGCATCTAGCATCTAGTCTTTAGATTTAGAACTGTTTAATTTTATTTTTTTTTATTGTTTTCAAATTTTTGGTGGGCCTGTAATGGATCTTTGCTATTATGTGTTTGATTTTTTTAGTGGTGAAGGGCTCATTGGTTCGGAAGAAAATTGAAATTCAATGGAAAATTTGAGTTGTTCCTTTGACCTTGTCGAATTCGAAACAACGGAGATTTATTCTTTTTTTCCCGGAATAAAAGAAAAAAGAAACAAGCTACAATGTAGTAATTTAGAGTTGGATATTTGGGTTTTACACAGCTCATACGTATTGAATATGGCCGTTATCCGGCCTGAAATATGTCCTGGTTGGGTTTTACTCAAATTAATCATCTTTTTGAACAATTTCCTCCTTGTCTCTCCAATTTTGCGAATTTCCCATTTATTTCGTATCTGGGTCTTTCTAGAAACAGGTTCACCGGAGGAATCCCCTCTGATATTGCTTAAGCCCCATATCTTGTGTACTTCAATGTGTCCAATAATCAAGAAGTCCGATGAAAAATACCGACGAAAACATGGTCTCTGCCTAATCTTCGGAACTTGAATTTTCAAAGCAATCTTGTCCTCTGTTCGAGCCCTGTAAATTGGGAGAAATCCTGACAAGCGCGTCTAATTGTAAGCAATAACTTGACTGGCTAGATAACGGCAGAACGAACGAACAATTTATGTTTGTTTTAGTTGGTTTAATTGCTGCTGGCTTTGTTGCCTTTTCACGATCACCAATCATTGTACAACATGGAAATTGCTGCCCCGTTTACAGCAACACGTACGGGCAGTATAATATATGATGCTTAAAACATTGTTTGAAGAGCAAATACTGGTTTCGTGGCGGTTTTTCGTTGTGTTGCTGATTGTTAAGCTGGGATTTGGAATAGAGTTTTCACTCTTAATGAATCAACATATAAATCTGGGTAATTTGCACTTTGCACCCTTGAATTACATGTCTTTGGCACTTTGCACCCTTAAATTAAAAAAATAGCAGTTTGCACCCTTCAATTACAGTTTGCTTGACACTTTGCACCCTGCTACACCTACAACCAGTTTTGTAAAATTTAAAGAGCGGGCACCGGTACCGGATGTCCAAGAAACAGAGGAGAAGACAAAGAAGAACAAGTGTGTCGGTGCAGATCAAATTAAAGGATTGTGACTAATTCCCAGAGCTCGGTGGAAAGATACGGGTCAAATCTTATATACTTGAATTCACTGAAATTTGCTTTAGAACCAGACATGTTGTTGTCTGAAGCTGGAAAAAACATACTCCAACAAAGAGAAACATCATCAATTATCAATTTGTGCAATTGATGAGAGAGAAGGGTCAAACAAGAAGCTCATAAAAAGAATTCTCCAATTCCATTTTTCTGATCTCATTTTGAGAATCTCCAATCCTGAGACCTCGGATATCACAAATTTGTCTAATCCCATTTTGCCACCACCACCACCACCTCCTCCTACACATTTGCCGCCGCCACCGCCAGTCCCTTCTTTGTTGAAAATGAAATGCAGCATCTCTGTAAACCACTGGAAAAAAAAAAAATATTTTTACCTCGATAATAATTCTTTCATGACCACTCTCTTTCAGAGGGCAATCTGTTAGCATTTTGTTTTTTAAATTAATAATATTACAAAATTTTATATAGTTAAAACAAACTGATTTCATTAAAAAGAAATTAAATTAGCAGTTACTATTTGTTGCATGACTTTTGTAGTGTGCTGTTCCTAATTTTCCTTTCCACTGGAGGCTCTGTATAATCTGCCACTCTTTAAATGTTACAAACCGGTTGCAGGTCATTTTTTTTGGCAGAATGTGTAGTAGGGTGCAAAGTGGCAAGTAAAATTATAATTTGAGGGTGTAAAGTGCTATATTTTCAATTTAAGGGTGTAAAGTGTCAAAGACATGTTATTTGAGGGTGCAAAGTGCCAATTACCCTATAAATCTTGAATTGACAGCCATTACAACAGAATCACAGATTGATTATTCCTCTAAAGATTTATGTTGATAATCTTTTGCTTAATTAAATAAGTTTTTAAAAGGAAATAAATTTGGGGAGAGCCCCAAATTTGCTATTTATCTTTATACAGATCCAACTTTATTTTCCCTATTTTATATTGGGATAATTAGTGAAAACCCCCCAATACATTTGATTATATTAGGATAGATATAACTTCATTTTACATATTAGTGAGAACCCCCTTATTTTATATTTTAATTTAACATAAATTCAAATTTTAAGTGGTATGTCTATATTAATTACCGTTAGTTATCATATAACATCACCAAACCCTATTTCTATTCTTCATCTCCTTTTTCTCTCCAGCCACCACCTCTCTCTCGTTTCTATCCCCAATCCAAGCCAGATCTCATATGCCCACCGCCACCCTCCGTCAACCACCGTCGTCGCTGCCCTCCGTCAACCACCGTCGTCACTGCCCTCCGTCCACCGCCGTCGTTGCTGCCCTCCATTCACCGCCGTCGTCACCGACCAACAGTGCCCTCGTTAATCTTTTACTCTTTTTGAGTCTCGCCAAATACCAGAAGCCGTCATTCAGTAGGCAACAATCGCTCTCCGATTGCCTCGAGTCGCGGCTCTTGCCTATTCATTCAGCCCGAGGATGAAACCGGTAATAAAAAACTCATCGGAGCAAAGCAGTTAATTCATCCTATCTTTTGCCAATTTTAGATCGAATTTTCAGATTCGGTTCAGATCTGTATTCATGATTTTCGATAAAAATGTGGTTTGTAGTTGATTTTCGATATATTGTAGAGTGTAGTTGGTTTTTTATACTAATTTTTTCTGAAATCATTTTAGGTATCCGCAGCGGCGATCTGATGTGGCAGAGTGGTAATTGACGGTTGACGTAAGGGATTTGCGTCCTTTCTTCACCTGAGAGTCATTGGCACGTAGAAGTTGGGGAGTGGTTCAGACGGTGGCGATGGAACAAATCACCCTCACAGCCTTCGGATTCAACACATGGTCGGTGGAGATATAGCCATTTCTCGATGGATATGCGACTGTTATGTCCAGCATCTAGATTGAACTATAGTTGTTTAATCTCTTAAGTTGAGATTTTTTATTTTATAGTTCATTTAGATAAATTATAGTTGTTTTCGATTTTTATAGTTGGTTTAGATAATTTTAAAGTTGATTTGATAAATTTTTAGTTGATTTTAATTTGTTATGGTTGATTTTCGTTAATTTGTAGTTGATATAGTTTTAGTAAACCTGCTATTAAAAATAACTATTTTTTGTGATTCTTGGTTCGAGAAATAAACGAACAAAAAAATAGTTGTTTTCAGCAATCTATAGTTGATTCTGGAAATAGTCAATTTCGAAAATAGTTGATTTCAGAAGTAGTTGATTTTGGAAATAGTTGATTTCGGAAATAGTTGATTCCGAATTATAGCTGTTTTCGGAATTTTATAATCGATATGGAAACAAAAAACTGGAAGTTAAAAATAATAAAATTGAAAAAAAAATATTTTTACAAAGTTTTTAAATAAGTAAACGAATATTATAATTAAAAGAAAAAAATGAAATAGATATTAAAGTAGTGGAGAGTGAATAGTAAGAAAGGGTAAATTTGAGAATTAAAAAAAGTTGGACTTATTACTAATAAATGAAATGGGGTTGGACCCATCTTTATTAAAAAAATGCTAGAGGGGTTCTCTTTTATATTAATAGCCCCCTTTTATCTAACCCCTAGTTTAATATCAAATATGAATCCACAGACACGCACACACACACACTCTCTCTCTCTCTCTCTCTCTCTCTCTCTCTCTCTCACACACACACACACACAACACACTGGCATTGCACATCTGTCTTTACTCTCCATAGACGCCCCTCTCTTTTCTCTCCACCGCCGCCGTTCACCTTTTGTGTAGCTTTCGTTTTCTGCCGTCTCTTACCCGTCGAATTTGTCTCCCAATCCACTGCTGTGAGTTTCTCGAGAAAATAATCGATGTCGAATTCGCCAATTACATCATTAGTTTTAAGCCATTTTTGTTTCTCCTCACAAAGCACATCAAAGTTTTTTCTTATGATTGATGATTTGCTTATCTACACTTGTTAAAGTTGGCTACAAAAATTTCGTAGTGAATTACATTAATTTTGCAGTGAATTACATTAATTTCATAGTGGATTTCCATAAGTTTGTAGTGGACTTCGATGAGTGTGTAGTCAATTTTGGCAAACCTATTGGAAAAACAAAAAAAAAAACAATTGAAATGAAGTGAGATTTATGAGAGATTTTTTGGAGAGTGGGAGCGGGATTTAGGGGGAGTTATATTTGGGGATATTAGGAGTGAAATTATGATTTGATTGTATTTCATATTTTCTTTTATCTCTTTTCAAATGAATATTCTGCAGACATTTTTTTGGGTATTTAAGTGAAAGGGGGTCTCATTTGAGAAGTTAAAATTGATCTTATCCCTATTAGGAAATGGGATGTATCAAAGAGCCCATTTGTAAAAATGAAGCTTAGAAAAAGAGATTATGCAAAAAAATATTTGATGAAAACCATATGAAAATACACATAAATTTAAATGAGAGCTTAGATAGAGAAACATGACATTTAAAAGAAATCTTAGAAAGAGAACCTAATAAGAAAAACATGCATTCTAGCAACGAGCTTATGCATGTTTTATGAGGTCTTAAATGAGAGCTTATATAGGGAGCTTACTTATAAAGCTTAGAAAATAAACATGCATTTCAAACTAGTTAAAGGAGAACTTAGATAGAAAACTTAGTGATTGGTTAGAAAGTTTAACAAACAACATTGCATTTCAAAAGGTTTTATGTGGGCTTAGATAAATAGCTCAACGTACAAATATGCATTTTGAAACAGTTTAACAAAATTTAGATAGAGAGGTTAGCCATAGAAAGTGAATAGATTATGTATTTCAAACTAAGTGGTTTTAAATAAGAGTTTCTGACACACAGCTTGACAAATGAGAGCTTAAAATAGAGAGTTAAGGGCATCTCAAATGGATTAAGCAAATCGGGTCTTCAAATTCTGTTTTAGAGACCTATATAGAAACTTAGTAGAGTTTTAGAGTTTCTAAAAAATAAAATTCAGAAGTGGAGGGTACTATAATTTCGAGTCTCTAAATAATGTTACTGATTAGTTTATATAGTAATTTGTTTATGGTT